TTATAGCTGCGATTTAATAGTCTGTGGCGCTGCATGTTTCAGAGTGAAGAGCAACACTGTATAACACGGCTTCAGGTGTTTTCAGCATCTAGAGATTGCATTAAGGGAAGGCAATATCCACTATAGGTTTCCTTTATTTACACGTTCGCATTTTGCACCATTTCTGGACGTCCAGAACCTGAGAGTTCAAGTACTGTCAAGCTCCATCTCCAGACTGCCTTTTTAAACACAGGCTTCTGGTATTGATGCCCTACCATATCAAGTCAAGTCAAGTCACCTTTATTTATATAGCGCTTTTTACAATACAGATTGTATCAAAGCGCTTCACAGTGATAACATGAAAACAATATAACAAAAACAATATAACAATATAACAACGTTTGTTTCTAAAAGAAATTGCGTCAACGTCCACCTTAAGTAAGGCAGATCAATAATATTATTGAATATTAAATGTTAAATGTCCCCAACTAAGCAAGCCAAAATCCAAGGCAACAGTGGCAAGGAACCAAAACTCCATCAGGTGACAGAATGGAGAAAAAAACCTTGGGAGAAACCAGACTCAGTCGGGGGGCCAGTTCTCCTCTGGCCAACGAAGGAACAGTGCATGATTCGGGCAGCATTACAAGTCAGATTGGATCGGAACATTTAGAGTATTTTTTTGGAAGTCCAAGTATGCACGCCGGTCTTAAGACGAGTTGTTGAGGATCAGTGCCGTCCACCATAGAGAGTCCATATCGCCCGTGTTGAGTCGTCACTTCATAGGCTTTGTGGTTGGAGCATCTGAAGTCTCCGTGAGAGGCTGGATACAAACTGGAGCTGACGAACGCCATTTTCTCGGGACTCGCGTCCCGAGATAACAGCAGAAAAGCAAAGGGAAAATAATTAGCGTAGCTGCTGTTCATAATGATGATTTCCATAACACAGGTGTAAAAGACAAAACTTGAAGACAGTGACTCTTTCGTCCCAAAATCACCCCCCTCCGTCCCCCACTCAACTCAGCCCAGCTTACTGACCTCTACATCCCTCCTGCTGCTGAGACCTAACCACAATCTCACAATCTCTCCCATATGTAGAAGTTCAGACTGTCCTGTCCTGTAGCGATGGCATCCACAAGAGAGCACGGAAGGTCCTGGACATCGACAGGTACTACATTACGGTAACAGAGACTCTCAGGTGTACGGTATGCAGGATCAGATTAACATAGGGCTAGGTGGGGCTTAAGCCCGAGCATGGAGGGGGCCCATGATTGGCCGAGGGAAGGATTGACTGGCCATTGGGAGCCCCTGAACTTTTCCTGGTGTGCCGCTTGCCAAAACCCCACACATTAAGCGCTGTTAAACCGTTTAATAAATTGATCATTCATACTGTATATGGGAAATATATTTTCTTTTCATAAGGGCCTGAGATTCCTCCTTGAAGATGAAGCTGACCGGAACACACCTACAATTCAGCCTGCTCACCTCTCATCCCAGTCCGCCTCATTTATTCTCTTCTGCTCACCAAGGCTGCATTTATTTAATTAAATACACAGTAAAAACAGTAATATTACAAAATATTATTACAAATTAAAATAACTGAAAATCATTCTGTGTGCCTGGGTCAAAACATCATTATTATAAATCATATTATAATATATAGCCCTATATACCTCATTTGTATAGGTCATTTTAAGCAATCTCACATTTATGTGGGTAATAAATAAATGTAAATAATGTATCCCATACAATGAAAGTGTTAAGGCATATTAAATGTAAAATAATGCATATTTTATGCAGTTTCCAGTGAAATATTAAGTGTCATTAATAATCTCGGTGACAAGTGACTTATTTTCATTCACAATCAGCATTCTTTGTAGACTATTGGGTTCACATCAGCGATTTGCCCTGTGTAATAAATAAAAAGGCAATTTTATCTACAAAATATGAATGTCAAAGATTTTCTTTTTTTCTTCTCTCATTTTTTCTTCTACCCTTCCTCAAATTGCACATTATATGTAAATGAATTTATTGTTTCCTTATTGTGTACTTTTGGTGCAATAAACAATTTCAAGTAGTTGTTTTATCTTGCCTAAAACGCCTTGTATTAATCACATTTATAAAAATTAGTTACATATATTTTGATTGTTACAAGTTTGCAAAAATTTACCAAAAAAAACTGATTTATAATCAAAAAGAGTATACACAATTATTTCACACCCACTCTTTTGTTTCATAAATATTACAAACACACACACAAGATGATTTTGCTCCTTTTTTTATTTCTATTAACTTCATTATGTACAGTTTGCACACACTACATATTTGTGGCCTTGGTTATAATACACCTAAATAATGTAATTAATGCACCCTATCCAACCATAAACTCACACACATCTGGGCTTGACTGATTTTTGTTATCCAACAGTGTGAATAGTATGCCCAAAACCACCTTATTTTATTAGTAATATGTTGTGTTCATTTTGAACCAGATTATTTTTTTCTCCCCCACATTGCTACACTTGGTGTTCCTGGTTAAAAATGACCTACCTACAAAAAAATGATAACATATAACATGACAGATAACATGTCGATGTTATTAGCGATATGATAACATATCGCTAATATTGAATTCAATCTTTCTATCAACTTGTTCTCTTTCAATTAATACATGTTCTGTATAGGGATGGGCATTTTTGTTAATTTCTCATTTCGATCATTGACAGGTCTCAAAATGTGTACTCGAGTACTCGGGGGGCGGGGCATGTGCGGGGGGCGGGGTGTGTCCGTCGTGAAAATTTAAATAGGCTATTTTAAGACATTTATGAAAATGTATGTTGACAAATAAAAATATGACATCAAAACATGTCTATGAAAACATGAACGTATGAATAAAAAAAAAACTGCTAGATTATGATGCATCAATGTTATCGAAAAAGAAACATCTAAAGGGAAGCTGCCTGAGGTAAAGCTAAAGAGTAAATGATCTCCAGTAAACTGAAGCCCGTTCTATGACACACATCCTATGAGATTAATAATCAGATATCCTAGATATATAACAAATGTAGCTAATAGTACAACGATCTGCAAAAAAGGACACGCATGCACATGTGAACTAGTTGTCTATGGTTTGAAAGTGAAACTCTGGATGCGCTCTTCTCTTAACAGCGCGCTGATACACGGGCAACTAAAGCACAGATAATTTACAACATTCTATCACAATCCTGTTCTTATTATAATGCTGAATATGGCATATTGGCGCTGCACATCTTGCACTTAATTTTTATTTTTTATGATACAAAGTGATAAGGCTACAGTCATCACTGCGCGTTTTCAAAGCCATAACTAGAAACAACTTTAAATAAAACATAGGTTTACCGTTTAAAAAATTAGAACAAAATAACACTGCAGCATTATTAATATCATCAATGATTTTTGCCCATTAAGCCTATCTAAAAGGAATATGACTGAAAGGAATATAAGAAATAACCTGATTATAGTCAAAAATGTCGGACATTCCATTTGAGCTGAAACTGATGAGTGAGTGAACGGTCGATAAACTGCCGCGTTTTTTCTAGCTGGTTATTAAACTCAACCAAACGCTTCTTATTTGAGATTAATCAGATATAGACAACATAAAAGTAATCTTAAAAACTTATATCTGCACCAAAAAGACGCGAATGTGTACATGAACTTGACCGTGCTGCTATAGTCTGATGTTGTGGACAGCGCGTTGAAAAACGAAAGCACAGAGAATTTACAACATCCTATAACAATCGTGTTCTCATTGTTATGTTATGCATAGATTGGCGCTGCACATCTTGCACTTAACTGTATTTCATGATCAAAGTGATTCCAGGCATCACAGTGTGCGTTTTCAAATCCAGTTTTATTTTTTTCCACTTTCCATTTCCACTTTATTTCGCCGGTCTGGAAGGCGTGCTGTTGTCTAACGCTAACTAATCAGACTGCAGGAACCGCCCCAAATGCCACAATGACCAATCAGAGAAAGAGAGAATTTTTGGGGGGGGGGGGGTCATTGTTTTCATGATCGATCGTCGCTGTCACGTACGAGTACTCGAGTACTTGAGTACCCGTGCCCATCCCTAGTTCTGTACTGATCTGACTTGCTGCATTTACACTGCAAGTCTTAATATACAGATCTGATTTTTGTGGCCCGACTGTTTACACTCAATTTAAACAGGACTTGTATCCGATATCTGTGTTTACATTAATTCCCGCCCAATGTGATTTTCAATGATTGGTTTACTATCCACACATGGTAGACCCTGGTTTTGAATGGCCGTGATATTAAAATTATTTACATAATTCATGTTGGGTGGTCATGATTATTTGCCAGCATGGACAAGATAACAGCTGTCATGATTAATGAATGTTTTGCAGCGCAAAATCTGACGGAACAGAGAGTCAAATAATAATACTTATAATGACCAAATTTGCAAGCAATTCCAAAGTCATTTTTGACCGGGAACACCAAATTAGCTAAATGATTTTCAGCACAGCACAAGGATTAAATAAATAATTAATCCATTGTTTTTAAAAACACACCAGCTGTGCCATTATTTACGAGACATGCGAGAACCAATGACATTTCTGATGCCAAACCTGGTGTGACATGCCATACTCCAAAGGACAGCGATTACTTTAGTTTTGAGAGCTACAGCAGAGAAAAAAAATTTACAGCAAATAACAACTATACTCTTTAACACTGGACTACCTTCATGGTGCTTTTTTTGGCTCTTGTTTGGAGCTTGACATCCCCAGTTCCCATCATACCAAAGAACACTCTGGAGAATCTGCTAAACATCTCCGTGTCCCACAGAGGAAAGTCTCAGGTTTGTGAGAAAGTTCCCAGTTTTTCGGAAACCAACTATTAAAGCTTCCAACACCATTCTTTCCATGCATCACCTTACAACAAATATGATAAAGTAATGTAATTGTTAAGCATATTAATGCAGATATAGAACTGCTAGTCCCCAAAATAAAAAATCTAATTAAAAAAAGCATCCCTGCAAACAAATCACAACCTTTACTTCGGCAAATTTGGACAATGCTTTTTCTTATGAGTCAGCAGAGTACTTAAGCGGCCGAAACACTTCTCGCATGACGGGCACTTGTACGGCTTCTCTCCGGTGTGCACTCGCTCGTGGGCTTTCAGGGAATCAGAAACCGTGAAACACATTCCACATTGTGCGCACTTGTAAGGTTTCTCGCCAGTGTGAATTCTTTGGTGCCTTTTCAAGTATATGATTCGCGTAAAGGCTTTCCCGCAGTCGAAGCACACGTGAGGCTTCTCGCCGGTATGGATTTTCTGGTGCTCTTTAAAATTGTGGAGCCATAGAAAACCTCTGCCACACTCAGAACAAACAAAGGGCCTTACGGTTTCATGAGTTTTCTCGTGCTTCTGGAGATGTCGAGCCTCAATGAAACTCTTTCCACACTGAGAACAGTGGTATAGTTTCTCTCCTGAATGCTTTTTCATGTGACCTACTAGGTTTCCATGATAGATGAAACTCTTCCCGCATTGAGGGCATGTGAAAGGTCTCTCTCCGGTGTGAAGTCTTATATGAATCTTTAGGTTTCCTTTGTGTGTGAAATGCCTTCCACACTGACGGCAAGTGAAAGGCTTCAGTCCGGTGTGAATTTTCATGTGATGCAGAAGGCTTCCTTTGTGTGTGAAACTCTTTCCACACTGATCACATGCAAAAGGCTTCTCTCCAGTGTGAATCCTCATGTGATCGGTAAGATTATCTTTATGTATGTAACTCTTCCCGCACAGCTGGCATACGTAGGGCCTCAAGCCCGTGTGAACTCTTAAGTGATTCTTAAGGCTTTGCTTATGAATGAAACTCTTCCCACACTGATCACATGGGAAAGGTTTGTCTACAGTGTGAAGTCTGTAGTGCTCCATCAGGTGCTCCTTACACAAAAAACATTTCTGACACTGTTGGCAGGAGAAGGGCATATTGACCGATTTTTGAGCTCCAGTTCGCACTGGAAACACGTTTGTTGTGGTCTCTGAGCAATTTTCTCCAGAGTGAGTTCGGAAGTGATCCATCAGGTGCTCTTTAGACTCAAAATTCCTTTTACATTCAAGACAGGAGAAGAAAAATCCACTTCTATGAGCTCTTTTGTGCCCAAACCTTCTCCCAGACTCAGAGCAACTTAAAACCTGCTGCCCAGTAAGGACAATCTGAGGTTCCTCATCCTGATGTTTCTCGTCCACATTCTGTTCTTCACTTTCCTCTTTCACTTCTGTCAGCCCTAATGTGAACATAAGAAAAAAAAGTTAAAATCACAAACTGATGATTGTCAAGATAATGGAAATAAAATTAAGGAATGTTCCATGCTCAGTACAAGATAAGCTCAATCGACAGAACCTGTGGTGCAAGAGTATTATCCACCTGTCCCTACTTTACTTTTAAAACAATGGTAGCGCGGTAGACCAATGACAATAGACTGGGCTATCTGGCCAATCAGAGCAGAGAAACTCGCAGAAAGGAGGGATTTAGAGAGACTGAAGCATCGGACGAGTCGTTTGAGAATCATTGAAATATGTGGTGATGTGCAAATTAGGGGTGTAACGATAAATTGTGGTACGATCTATCGCGATGCAAACATGTTACGATATGTATCGTAGAGTTACGGCGATTATTTATAAAAAAATTTACGATATGACATCCGTTTTATTCTATTGGTGGAGCTACCGCACCCGCGTCACGCTCAAATGAATCGCTTGAACTGAGCAGTAGCAGGGCAAAATGAGTTCAACTGAAATTGAAATAGTGGATGCCCCGTCCACTTACAAGTCCGACGTCTGGCAGCATTTTGGTTTTCCAGTTACTCGACAGGAGGGCGGTAAAAAAAACAGACAAAACACAAACTGTGTGTAAATACTGTAAACAAACACTGTTATACACGACGTTGAACACTACAAATATGATGTGTCATTTAAAACGGCACAACATAGACTTCTGCAACCGGTTGCGAAAAAGGGAGTGAAAGAAGGCCAATCATCTATACAACGTAGTTTTGCTTCAACGTGGTCTCAGTCAAGTGCAAAAGCTCAAGAAATAACCAGGTGCATCTGTGTTTTTTTTTTGCAAAAGACATGAGGCCATTCTCTGTTGTCGACAATGTTGGATTTTGCAAATTGGTGAAGGTACAGGAGCCCAGGTACTATATTCTGTCACGCCCGCACTTCAGTCAGGAGGTAATTCCAGCCCTGTACAACAATGCGTCCCTGTTAAATACATCTTTTATTTGATTTTCAGTTTAATTTTTTACTTTTGTTCAAAATATCATGATACATATTGTATCGTGAACCCAGTATCGTGATACGTATCGAATCGTGATCTGAGTGTATCGTTACACCCCTAGTGCAAATGTATATTATGAGGAAACAAAAGTGTTTTTTAACCTTTTATGCATGTAATCATGTTGTAGGAGAGCTCTGAAAAAATTAGGAACCTTTAAAATAGCATAATTGGGGCACTTTCAATTTTCACAAAAGGTCATCAATGTTATGCCATGCACTTTGTTGAACTGAATCAACGCTAAACTGATTTGAGCTAAAAAATAACACTAGTCTTTTTAAAGCTGCCTTACAGCATAATATGAATGTCTTTTATTTGATCAAGTTATCATCATTCATTGAGCTTTATTCTCCTGTGTTGTATAAAGCGCTATATAAATAAAGGTGACTTGACTGAGACTTTAAAGGACAGTTTACCTCAGATAGAGTACGTCGTACAAGTATGTGTGTTTTTGGGGTTTAGGCTTCGTGTTTAATACCCTGCTGAAAAAAACAACAGAAACCATTACAGAAGTTTTAATGGTTTCCAATAAAAAATAAAAAATTCTAAACATTACAACCAGTAAAACCATCACCTAATGGTTTCAGTGGCACTGTTGCCAAGTTTGCGGCTTTCCCGCAGAATTGGACTTCTTGTAAACGGCTGCTGTGCTGTGTACAGGATAAAAATAGTTTATAATATTAACACTCACATATAGCTGCATAACTATAAAAAAATAATCACTGCTGTAAATCTGTGCAATATAACGTGCAGTACTTCAAAAATGTATAATAATACCCAGCAGAGAAGTGATATATTTATTGCTTAAATAGGCCTACGCTCTTGAGCACATAAATAATTATATTTGCTACAGATCGACATAACATCTGTTTTTTTTTCACTTTTCAGCACTGCAGGATTTTTAATTCCCTTTGTACACACAAAACCCAATGGCCAGGGCTTGTATTATTTGGTACCCTATTATTGTCTTATTTGTCACCGCGGTTTGCTTTAAAATAAAATCAAAAATGTATCCGATGTCTTACTGAAATAGTGAATGGGCTATATGCACGCATAACTTCCGCGTTTGATGCAAGGATGCTCTTACGTTTCCGGTTGGGGAGATTTAAAGCGGAGGAAAACCGAGAAAAACGGGATTATGGCAGAGTCTTCAAAATTTACTGTCCTCTCGTCTTTAAAACGAAACTTTAATACGTTTAGTTGTAATTTTATATATAGTTATGTTTATTTAATATAATAAACAAAGAAGCATAAACAAAATGAGGGGTGTCTGTTTTGTCTGTTTTTGTGACTAACATTTCTTTAATATAGCAATAGAGTATAAAAACCAATATAAATTCTCGGTATAGCATTGGACTCTACGATCGGCGGAAGTAATCCAGCATCCTTAGACCTTCACCGGAAATACCGCCGTGCATAGAGCCCATTATCATCATTTGTGTAAAAATCCAGAGTTTGTGTTTATTCACAGATCCAAATGGAAAAATGAAGAAGCATAAATGAACGATTTAGCGCCCTGCATGACATGTGGAAAATATAGTCTACTATCAGCCTATAAAATATGTCTTCTTTGCAAAGCTAGTAATTTCATCATGCTCTTTGCTCACTAAAAGTGGCACTGACGCATCTGCTGGGTAAATTAATAAATACAATATAGCTAAATCTCAAACAGTGTATCATTTATATCAGCAACATGTTTCTTTATATAGCCCAGCTCTAAAACTGCTCAATATTAAAGCTTATATGACTTTTTGTAAAGCTGCTTTGAAACGATGTGAATTGAGCACTATACGAATAAATTTGACTTGACTTTACTTGAGACTTAGCCTATATATCATGGCCACGAATTAAGAATTTGTTCCCCAGATTTAGCAGCACGCATATTACACGGCGTTCTGCCTGAAGCGATTGTTTGTACAGTAAACTCCTCTAACTTGATTCGTGTTAAAAGTGCAATGTGTAAAAATTTTGAGTATCTATTAACAGAAATGCAATATGACATCCATAACTATGTGTTCAGTGGTGTATAAAGAACTTACTTATTCTAAGGTAATAAAAACATTACGGTTTATTGAGACATTTAGATCTACATAACCGCTTTTAAGTCGATCGCGAAGAGTTTTCAAAATCAGAGAAAAAAGCCTATTGTGTGCAGTAAATGGTGTCTAGGGGATGCGGAGGCGCGTGCGCTGTTACAATTATGTCATTTTTGCCGCGCGCACCTTTGGGCTCATGCGGACGCGTCGAGTTTAAACAAGGCTTTACGCTTTAACCAGCTCAGCCACAGTAACAGCTCATATTTAGCCAGCTAAACTTTTACTACCCTGTTAGAAAAAATATATAGTTGCATAGTTTCATGTGGTTCTTCTCCATCGCTGTATTATGGGTTTGCTATGTGGGGAGAATGTGCTGGTTACGTTCGTGAGACAATCAGCTGATTACTATTATTATATTATATATTAAGACCCTTGATCCTCACCTGACTATTGCTTTGTAAACTTTATCCATGATGTGGTTTATAATGGACTGTGGTACAGAAACAGTGACAATGTTACACACTCTTGGCTTACTCTGGCTATTCTCTGCTGTCTCAGACGACAATGTGTTTGTCCCGTTTTAGCCACCGTAGCTTCTTCGAAAGGGAGGGGTGAGCAGTGGGCTGAGCCCTTAGTGCAACTCGCAACCGAACCGCTAGAAATACACACTGCACCTTTAAGTGAATCAAAACATTATCCAATTGATCATTAATGAAATCGCTAGTTATCACTTATAAATAGGATAGTTCCAATCCTTGATTCTGATTGGTCAATAGCTGTGTTCAGTTTTAATCGCGATAAAACACGGTCATGAACGCTTCACCCAACGGTTCTATGTACACAACACCCCTAGCAACCACTCTTAGCAACTTAAACATGTGTTTGATCTCATTGATATTGTTCACTGAAGCTAGATTAGAGTATTGTGAGAGATCGAGTAAGCGAGTGTACCTGCATTTACAGTAGACGTAGCATTTTCCTTCAGGTCAGTCCTATATTCGTAATAAAAAAAAATCTGTTTGAATGTCCGCAGCGATATCTTTTAACAGTCAAGGGGTTTTCCCTCATAAAGATAGTCTTTGCCACCATCTAATGGCGAAATAATGTATGTAACTTATGTTGCTGTTTACGGTCAGGGATTATTTAAGGAAGGCTTTTAGTGATTTTACTTCATTAAAGTTTATGAAAAATAAACCGCTGTGACTTATTCATGATACAGCACAGCCTCTCATACCTCATTGCTTTCATATGTAGTACGGCCTACACGCCTCAACCATCTACACCCAATACGATTGCTGTATTATAAACCAATGAAATTGGGTGTGGTCGGGGCGACACACTCTGGCGTCACTCCTTTGGGATGGTTGTGTTACACAGACCTGGCAACCCTTGTCCTGTTGTGTTTTGGGGAATATTCCATTAGGATTTAATGTTTTTTTTTTTTACATGCCACCAACAGAAGACAAAAAAATAAGCAGTAGAGACCATTACAGTCTCCATCAAAACCAAAACAATTCCCATTATAACCATTAATAAGGGTTTTTATTGTTAGTTTTTTTTCAGCAGGGTAACTTAATCTTATTTTATCAAAATGGTGCACGTGGTGCTTTTCCTAGGCGCGTCGCCGCGAACTGCTACACTCATGAACGGTAAAATTAGATTATTTGTTTTCCGTTAAATCCTATCGTGTGCCTTCAGAAATGGATTCTACTGAGTCGCATGGTACTTTCTCGATCGATTATGTCATTATTGTATTATTGCCAGACCTGGCACATTACTAGCATACAAAGCTCTAGTTCTGCATCTAAACATGCATCTTCCCTCTAAAGTTACGTCAATTTATGCCATCTAACGTTAACTGTTATTTCACAGCCACCGAAACTAGCAGTGAAGCTTTGTTACCGAACGCAGTAAATAATGAAGAATCAAACCTCCTTGTTCATCTGTTTGCTCAATTTTCACTCGCCATGGCTCTGGAATCGTCATTTCTTCACTCTCCTCTTTTATAAAGTCCATCTTTACAATTGTATGTGACGAAGACATCATTTGATAAAGCTTGAGTTATTTGGGCCTGTTCAAACGCGGGTCTTCGCGTTCAGAGTAACAGTATGAGATATTTTTATCCGATTCGCATAACTCCTACTATTCACTAGATACACGCGTCCTTCTGAGAATATCCAAAGTCAGACGTTGTATATTTTTACTTAATACCTGCTGCTGTCCACTATAAAGTGTGCTGTTGTTGAGCGATACACACTCACTGAAGATAACGCTAGCGGAACAAGATGGCAACGCTGTTTCTTCTTCTCGAGTTTCAGTGTTTGTTGCTTTATCGCCGCTACTGGGCTGGAGTGAGAAGAAATGAAGGCATGATGACGCAGGGATGACGTAGGCCAACCCGAAAGTTAGCAGCGCCATGTTTTTATATAGAAACAGATGAAAATATAAAAACATCTTCAGGAGGATATTAAGGAGTGTCAACAGAAATGTTCACATATAACAGACAAGAGAAACAAATACACAAAAAGGGTAGACACAAGCAAAATAAACAAACAGACTAATTTAAGAAAATTAATGAAAATAAAATATTCTAATGTTGCTGCATTTAATCAACAACAACAAAAAAGCTAATGTTAAATAATAAGAAATTAATAAGAAAACAGAAACATTAATAAGCATAGGGAAGCAAACTAAGCCTCATCAACAGAATCATTAAATAAATTCTCATATTGTTTCAAGAATCTGTCACATTTTAAATACAAATATTTGAAAATCTACCTCAATTTAAAAAATGTGAGAGAGTAGGAAGTGAGCCCGAAAATGTTTGCTTATAGATTTTTTTTTTAAAATACCTAAATATAAATAAATACAAATTTAAAAATGAATAAAAAATGAGGATATTGAGGAAAATGAGCAGGTGATGATACACAGGGCAACTTTTTGAGCAATGTTGCTGGGCAATCTTGCCGAGTGATTGTTGCTTGGGTACTTTCCCATTGAAAATGGGCAATACATTTCTATCTGGATACTTTCGGTCGTGGGCCCTGTGTCTCATCTGGTTGCCCGTAGACGGCAACATTGCCCAGCAACATTGCTCAAAAAGTTGCCCTGTATCATCATCAGACTTGTTATAAGAGTTAGTATAATTGTAAACAATGTCTTTTAAATTAAAACATTGGGTAAATCAGCCCTTTAGTGAACTGGAGTTAAATATTGTTTCACTAAATACATTTTTTTTAAAGAATTTTTGGGAAATTGAATGCCCTAATTTTTTAACATGTTTGTTTTTTTCATTTTAGTTATTATTATGTTATATATTTATTTAGATTTTTCAATTACTTGGTGGACTAAATGCTTTTAAAAATAATGAATGGGGTATTACTGATGCATGTTATTTTGTAGAATAAAATGAGAAAATATCTTGAGCTTATGTTCACCTTATACTGTATTTCAGAAATGTTCAAAACCCATCGACTTCAGGATGATGGAAGCAGAAAGTCTAAATCAAACTCGTTTCTGGGTTTCAGGACTCTTGTGGATTCCTGTGGCACTCATTACCTTTAGACTATAAATTACACACAAAAAAACATGTCATTTTTAAATTTATATTGTATAAAACAGGATCTCTTGTATGTAATTATTAAATAAATAAATAATAATAATAAAAATGTATATATTATTTTTATTTAGCAACGGGCTGCATTTCGGCCACTCATAAGTTAACATTATACACAACTACAGATGCAGACGATCCCACTACAGAATGGATGGAAGATACAAATATTTGTAACTGTCCCCATTTTAAGTGGGCTGAGCAAATGTGGGTGCAATACAGCCCTGTTTCAACCCTAATCCCTTTAACAGTATACATGTGAATTGATCATGGAACAATGCTCTTGATTACCACAGTATGCTAATGCCTATCTGGTGCAAGAGATCATTGATATGCGAATTGAGGGCTTTCGTGACAATTCAGGGACAGGACGGTCCAGGTCTAAAGAAGCGGAATAGCACCTCTAATACATACCTGTGTCACATGCTTCACAATGCCCCATTAACTCCTGTTAATTTGGTCATGTTTGGTCTCAACTGCAGCTTAAAAACTAAATAGAATTTTTGTGATTTCTACAGAGATGCCGAAGAGATGTTCTCATACACAATTATAGAACTATAGCTTAAGATACATTGAGTGAGGAGATTATGGTACACTGTAAAAAGGTTGCTGTAAATTTTACAGTAACTTACTGGCAGCTGGATGCCAGTAAGTTACTGTAAAAGTGTTTACAGTATCACTACTGTAATTTCATTTACAGTAATACAATTGTATACTGTATTAATATTTACCGTATGAGTACTGTAATTTTCATTTACAGTACAAGTACTGTATTTTTATTTACAGTATTAGAATTGGTTTCCTATTACATAATTAGAGATTTAAGTTTAGCTTCATTTCCTTTAAACAAAATTAATTTAATTTTAAATCTACATGTCACAGGTAAAGTTGCAATAAAGTTGATGAAACAGATCTAATCGCAGCAGTCAGTTTTATTTAACACAAAACAACCAAACAAAAAGACAAACCAATTAATGAAATTAACAACAGGTGTAACTGATGATTAACTAAAGAAAAACCACTACAGCACTGTAAACTTTTTTTTTTTTACCCCCAAAAAATTCATAAACTGAAATTCATGAGTTCTCATGAATATTTGTCATTAAAATATGCTGTTTAATTTAACTGTTTCATTGTTTAACTTAAAAATTAACTTTAACTTCAAAAATTACAAATGTGTTTGAATTCATCTTGTGTCTTTGTAACATAAATTTAAACATGCTTAAAAGCAGAACAAGCCTTACAAAAATCAAACCGTAAAAACATGTTTTTGTATTTTTGTCGTCAGCCCTGTTTTATTTCAATAATTTTGCCAATCGAAGTCAACAAGCTCTCTAATGAAAGATGCTACAAGGGGATTCAGGCTAGCGATTTTTCTCTGGACCCTCTTTCCAGATGTCCGGCTTATCTGTGATTTTGATTGGCATTTGGTGCCATCAGGGTTTATTCTCAGAATGAACCTGCAAGCACAAGAAAAAACATTTATCAAACCACTGCTTTCCCAACAGTCATAACATGGTGTTGTATGCACTTTGATGTTAATGAAAGCAATATGTACTATATAAATAAATAATTCATAGTACAGTGAGTGTAGACAGATTGTACCGGTGCAGATTATACACAGATTAGACAGATTATAATGGAATTTTGTGAGATTGAATTAAAACGAGGGACACATTTTTAGTGATTATAAAGGGACAGCTCTTTGCATGCTTTCTGCCATGTCGAATCAAACATCCAGAAGCCTATGCTTGATTTTCTGTTAAAATCAACAGTGGTTTGTGAATGTAGATAATTTATCAGGAACGTTGCTGGGATGTGTTGTCTTTAGGCCACTGGCTCTCAAACATTTTAGATTGGCGTACCCCCTGAGGCTTTTAACATCCTTCATTTATAAAACAAATAATGCTTTGAATAAAAAAAAATTCAATAGAGAAATATGCAATAATGGTAAAAACGATGCTTTTAAATATTTTAAATATTAAATTAAAACCGCCAGTAGGTGTCGGCAAGTCGCTGTCTTTATGAGTGAGTCATCGAGTCATTCATTCATTCAGTAACGAAGCAAGTGGTTGTAATTATGAATGAATCATTAATGAATCATTAAATCATTGACTCTCATTATTTATTCAAAGCCACAGATTCAATCACAAACACTTATGTGTGCTGCAGTGGCTTTCGTTGGAGCTTTTTTGTGCTAAATCCCCACTTTTACAAAGGTACATTGTCGAGAACGGCAGTATAGCACGATTTGCCAACTCAGTGATACCAATACTGCTACTGATGTCTTCAACTATTATTATTTTTCAATTTTAAACATTAATTATCGCCATTCAACACTACATTATAATTGAAAGCTATATATTTTAACATTTATTAGGCTCCAAAAAATATAACAACTATTAATTTTAGTGAACTTAAACCAATCATTACATAAGGCCATAATAAATGTCCTATTGAGCGCAACAAGCCATGAAAAAGAGGCAGCTTTACCTGTACTCACTGGGAATGAAGCTCGGGAATTAAATCATGCGCAACCCGCCCGCAATTCAATGCCGAAAACGTAATATTTGTATGTTTAACATAAATCTATGTGCGTAATTTGTTGTTATTAGAGACATCCGAGATTGATGATACATCATGGCACCCCGGTTGGGAAACACTGCTCTACATCATTGTTAGTCAATATCATAATGCTTTTAAATTAATTTATGATTACCTCTGAATGAACTCCAGCGTATTCATTGCCTCTTCCTGGTACTGTACATTGAATACGTAGTAGCAGCTAAACAAGATAGCTAATGCAGATTGAAAATCTGTTAGCTCTTGTGGCCCTATGATGACTTTGCCCTCCATTGTCAGCATCCATTTTTTAGCAGTGAAAACAGAATTTCCTGTAACAGACAACATCATAGCAGCTTTTTTTAGTAAGGGTAGGGAAAAATCTATTGTTAACAAATAATGATTCTTGAGGCAATTTTTTTTTCTAATTGTCACCATAAAAAAACCCCACATATTTAAATGCTTTAAAATCAAAAAATGTCTTTCTTCCACAGTACCAGTCTGTATGGTGTGTTCAATTTAGTAGTGATTGCACTTATTTTATATATGGAACTTTTTACACAGAACATTTTTCATTCCACTGCGCTTCTTTTCCATTGGTTTTGTGAGAAAACGTGCTAGAGAAAGACATATTTGACCACTGCACTCTCGTCCTTTGCAGTGTCTCACATCCATGTGTCAAATTTAAATAAATTATTTCATTTTATATTGATCAAAGGTGACAGTAAAAACAATGTTATAAAACAATTCTATTTCAAATGCATACTGTTCTTTTGAATCTTAAAAAAAAAACATCACTTTCTCAACGCAAATAAAAAAGCAGCATAACGGTTTTCAACATTGATAATAATCAGAAATGTTTCTTGAGCAGCATGTCATCATATTACAAAGATTTCCGAAGGATCAAATGACACTGAAGACTGGAGGAATGATAACAGGAATACATTGCATTTACCAATATATTTAAATAGAAAAAAGTTATTTTAAATTGCAATATGTGTTTCTGATCAAATAATTGCAGTCCAAAAACTTTAGCATAAGAACTTGTGGTGTACAGTCTGGTTGGATAGGCTGCTGCCTATAATAATTAAACATAATTTACCACTTTATTTACAAAATATTAATCTCCAATGTGC